GGGGATGGCAATACCCCTGGGATCCAGCCACGCCGAGGGGCTCCCTAAGGTGTTGGGGGGGTGACATGACTGCACTTGACCAGACGTGGGTGAAGCAGCTGGGGGACCCCACCGGCTGTGGTCCCCCAGGTTTGCCCAGGGCTGGGGAAGGAGAAGGCACATCCCAGCCAGCCATGCAGGGAGGGGGGGCTCAGGGAAGGGGACCCTGCCCAGCCAGGTGTCACTGGGCACCCTCCGCATGCCAGCACAGGCACAGCCCGACATCGGGGTGATGTGGAGGCAGCTCAGCCATGGCTGCCTTGCCAGCAGGGCTTGTGTATGTCACTGACACTGCTGGTGGCATCAGTGGGTGGCAGCTGTGACCCGGGGGGGTGGCCCCGAGGCTACTGGCTGGGACGGGCCATCACCAGGACACTGCGCAGCTGTCCCTCGCAGCACAGGGACAGGGCGGGGATGCTGCAGCCCAGCCCATGATCCCGCTGACTGCTGTCCCCACACAGGTGTTCAGGTGGACTGGAAAGAACAGCTTTTTCCTGAAAGGGGATGTGGACCTGCTGATGATCGGTGGGGGCAGGTACGAGCCATGCTGGCAGTCTCAGCACCTCACAAGGTCCCCAGCCCCAATAGCTGTAGGGGCATTGATCTGAGCCCAAGCTGCCCTGTGGAGTTGGGTCCAGGCACATGCCAGTGCTTTGAACCCAAAAATACCCGTGGAGGTTGTCCAGCAGCACTAGTCATTTATTTCATCCTCCCCAACCTTGCTGCTGGCAGGCCCGCCTGCTCCTGTTGGCAGGGCAGCAGCCCCAAGGGTGGCTGCTTGTCCTGTCTTGTCCCCGTTTTGCCAGTCCCTTGTGCCTGGCATCCTCAGCAAGGGGGTACCTGGGAGTGGGGACAGGGATGTGGCTGATGCCCCCGGAGGTGGCTGGGGAGATCTCCAGGGACAGAGTGGCAGGAGAGGGGACCCTCGGCTGACTGTGCCATTGGCACCTTCCCAGTGGGCGGTTTGGGCTGTGGCTGGATGGAGACCTGAACCATGGGGGCAGCCACCCCTGTGAGACCTTCGACAACGAGACCCTCTCATCCCGGGAAGAGTTCTGTGTCCAGGACCTGGAAGTGTGGGGCCTGGCCTGACCCCTCCACCCACACCTGGGACAAAGGTGGCATCAGGGGAGGTGATGCTTTGGGACCAATGCCTCATGCACAGCTGGTCCCTGCTGGGACAGGGCATAGCCTCAACTCTGCCTCCCTCCACCCTGTCCCCACCAACATCCCCTTTTCATGTACCAGCAGCTGGTGGGGGCAGCGTGATGGGGACAGGCTGCTGTGGGGTCTCAGCTCCCCCCTGTAGTGCTGCTGCCACCATGACAGAGTCCCCAGGGTGGCTGCAGGACCATCCCTCACCATGGCACCCAGCACCCTGCCTGGCCAGGATGATGCAGAACCCCGGGAGGAGGGCACATGGCAGGGCTGAGCACCACAGGGTCCCCAGATGGAGGAGCCAGTGTCGAGAGCAGCGTGATGCCAGCAGGACCCAGCAAGCCCAGGCAGCCTCTGCCCCACCTGCCGCTGCCCCCGGGGATGATGCTGCCAGGGCTGGAAGGCCACACAGTCACCACTCATCAATAACCAGCAGAGCTGCATGCTCGGCCTTGTCCTGCCCTGGAAGCAACAGTGGTGCTGTGAGGTTGCAAAGCAAGTGGTGCTGAGCAGGGCAGGAGCCGGGAGAGCACTGGCCATGCTGCAGGAGACTTGTAACTCCCCCAAATGAGGACTGAGAGAAGCAGCCTCAGGGAAGCATAAACAATGTTGAGAGACAAAACTTAGTCTAGATAAGGGAGGAGGGTGGGCAGAGACCCTCTGAGCACTTTCTTGAGGAATGTCTCAAACACTCAAAAATACCCTAAAACAAAACTATAGTCACAGGATGGATAACCTGGAGGCTGGGTAATGAAAGCTTTGTGCTCAATGAGCTGATAAGGTTGACCCTTGCTCATCTCTTGTGGGACCCATTGTAGGAGAAAATTCTCCTGGGTAGCACAGGATGAGCTGGAGGAGGGGGCCCTGTGGAGACAGGACGGTTCTGCTCTTGTGCATCTTGTAAAGTTTCAGGGGCCATCTGTCCTGTGAACGACCTTTGCTTCATTATCCACAAAATACATATTAAAAATTAATATATCTGCATATGCTAATGAAGATTAACAAGATTAACAAAATCTCATGAAGCACCTTACTCCTCCCCATACCTCTGAGACATCAACATGTAGGTGGATCTGGGGGAGGGACCCAAGGAAAGTGTGTAAATTGAGGAGGGGCAGGGATAGCAGTAGTGAAGAAGACAGATGCATCCCTGAACCCTCATTGGTGGGACCAACTCAGGAACCCAGACAGGTGATCTCTATCCCCGTCTCTCTTCTTCTCTTTTCCCCCTTGTTATCATTAAGTGATGCAAGACCTATCATACTGCTTGCCATAATTTCTTATATACTTATATATTATTGTGTATCTAATTAATACACTGCAGGAAATTAAAGTATGTTTATGTATGGACTTTGAGACTTGTCTCACCGTTGTCCACTCCATTGGGTATTTATGAATGTAAGTCACTTGTCTCCCTCCTCTGAGCAGGACATGGCGATGCCCTGTCCCCGCCCAGGTCTGTGTGCCCACAGCAAGCTCTGGGGGTCAGCCCGGAGTGCTGCTCCAGGGGAATGTGGGGTCCTGTCTCCCCTCTGGCAGAGTCCACACTCTCTGTCCACCCTGTCACCTCCTGAGGGCCAGGGCTTCCTCCTCGGGGGGTGTTCAGGCTACGCTGCTCCCACCGGGGAGGGGACAACAGATTGGATCGAGACAGAATGACACACACCTCCCCCATGGACACAGTTTGGGGATGATACAGCCACTCCAGCAGCTGGCACCAGGACTCCCACCTGCCACAGCAGCTGACCCCGCAGGCCAGGGGTGCCTACAGCCCTGCTCTGACTCCAGGTGCTGGCCCCAAAACCACCCCTGCCGGCCTCTCCAGCAGCTGGCACCCAGCCCTTGCAGCACCCAGCCACACAGGCTATGTGAGATTAGCAGAGAAATAGCTAAGAAGGGATTTAAGATGAGGACAGGACAGAAGATGAGACAGATCGTGTGCAGGGCTCAGGCAGACAATGCACTGACCAGCCTTGTTTTCACATGCAATCCTTCATACCGCTTTTCTGCCTCTTGCCTCTTCATTCCTCCCTCCTTCGCCACTTGCAGAGTCCCACCAACCCCCTCCAATGTCCTAGGCCCCAAGGTTACAGCCCAACCAGCTGCAAAGTCCTGGTTGCATGTAGCTTCTTGAGAGCCCATCAGTTAGCAGGACTGAGGTTTGTCTCCCTTTCAGCTCCCCAGCTGAAAAAATGACCATTCTCCTGCTCCCCACGGCCTTCCCAGGAGTGCCGTCACCTCCCTTGTCCCATGACTGTGAGAGTGGGCTTGCTGGGGTGTTCACGGCTCCTCTGACCAGGTACCCCCAGGGCAGCAGACCCCTCCACCCCTGAGCCCTCCTGGGGGGCTCCTGGATGCTCACAGCTGCGTGCCAGGAGCTGTTTGGGTCCCCTGACCTCCTGTGTGCGGGTGCCACCCAGCACTCCACATGGAAACCCAACTGTGTGGCACTAGCCCCCTGGGGAACTTGACACTCCATGTAGGGCCCACGATTCACCCCACCAAAGCTGCTTTTTGAGGTGCTGCTCCCAACACAGCCTGCAAGGGGCACAGAGCAGAGCCAACAAAGTCACCCCACAGCCAGGGCTGGCAGCCTGCAGCCCCCACCTTCAGCTCAGGGAGAAGAGGAGGAACATCTTCAGTGCCCTGTAGAAGCGATCCCCGAGGCAAATGGTGGCAGCACAGAAGGCACTGAAGGTGCAAGCCATCACCAAACAGACCAGGAAAGGCTCCAATAAAGCTTGCCTGCCCAGGAGGCTGCTGGGAACCTCTTCACAGGCCTCTCAGCACTGCCTCACCCCTCACCAACACACGTCCCGTCCTGTGATTTCAAGGCCCATTTCACATTTCTGCCAGTGGCGCTGGGGCAGGATCACAGAATGGTTGAGGCTGGCAGGGACTTCTGGTGATCATCTGGTCCAGCCCTCTGCTCCAGCAGGGCCACCTAGAGCTGGTTGCCCAGGACCTTGAGTATCTCCATGGGTGGAGCCTCCACAACCTCCCTGGGCCGCCTGTGCCAGCGCTCCGTCACCCTCACAGTGCAAAAGTGTTTCCTGATGTTCAGAGGGACCCTCCTGGGTGCCAGTTTGTGCCCACTGGTCCTGTCCCTGGGCACCACTGAGAGGACCCTGGCTCCGTCCTCTCTGCACCCTGCCTCCAGGTCTCTGTACGCGCTGGGGGGAGCCCCCTGAGCCCGCCCTGCTCCGGGCTGAACAGTCCCAGCTCTCAGCCTCTCCTCGTGGTGGATGCTCCAGTCCCTTCATCACCTTCCTGGCCCTTCGCTGGACTCTCTCCAGTATGTCCCTGCCTCTCCTGTACTGGGAGCCCAGCACGGGACCCAGCACTGCAGGGGTGGCCTCCCCAGTGCTGAGCAGAGGAGAAGGATCCTCCAGCTGCTGGCAACCCTTTGCCTAAGGCAGCCCAGGACACCACTGGCATACTCTGCTGCAAGAGCATAGTGTTGGCTTGCAGTCAGCTCCTGGGGCCACCAGGAACCCCTGATCCTTTTCGGCCACGTGGCTTCCCAGGTGGGTGGCCCTGGCCCAGACTGGTGAATGAGACAGGATTCTTCACTCCCCTTGCTGAGCCCGATGAGGTTCCTGTCAGCCCATGTCCCCAGTCTGCCCAGGGCCCCTGGGTGCCAGCCCAAACCCCCCTGCATGGTGTCACCTGCAACTTGCTGGGGGCAGACCCTGTCCCATCAGCCAGATCAGTAATGAAGACCACTAGGACCGGAGCCAGCTCTGCCCCCAGAGTACACCACGAGTTACTGGCCTCCAACTAGATTTTGTGCCACTGATCAACCACCCTCAGGGCCCAGCCCTTGAGCCAGTTTTCAGTGCCACCCATGGGTCACCCAGACCATACTTCAACAGCTTGTGGAGACAGACAGCATCTACCCGCCAGCTACTGGGCCAGTCATTTCATTGCTGAAGTTGCTCAGGCTGGTCAAGCATGACTTAACTTTTCCTTTTTCCCCTACACAACAGTTTGAGCAGCCCCTGAAGGCCCTGAAGGATGCTGATGTGAGAGGCCTGAGAGGCTCGGCCATGCCTGGCATGAGGCGTGAGGAGAGGCCAGATCCTCAGCCTTGGCACCACCTCTGTGAGCTCTCCTCCCCTTGCCTGGCCCCAGGGCCCTTCACAGCTCAGCTGGCTCCACTGCGGTTCCCATTCACACTACACTTGGGTAAACAATAAATTAAGAAACCATTTCCTCAAGGTGGAAGGTCTGCATTTCCACAGAGCAGCATTCGTACTTTAGAAATACATTTGGCTGTAAGACTATTTTTAATAAAGTTTGCACACTGCAACTCCTTAAAAGAATAGTAAAATCATTGTTTATAAATTTATTCTTAGTCCAGAGAGGCTCAGATTAACATGCTTGAGAAGAAATGCACTCTCTCAGAACTTAACATTAAGTACAAATTTTTGCTTTAACATAAGCAAAAGATATTTCTCAAGTATAAAGTGCACCTTTTGTAACAGATTCAAAACAAACCCAAGCAATAATAACAAAATTACATTATTCTGAACAGTACTTGATTTTATGCAGATAAAGGCCTTCACTCTATGATGTTTCTTGAAGTACAATAAAAGTTCTTCCAAAGCTTTTAAAGAGGTCACAAATTCTTCTAATAGTTACCTGGCACACCTGCAGACCTGAAATACTGTTAAAGGTATGAACAGCAGAGATTGCACCACATTCATCACCTTTAGACACATGAGCACAGGTATGTAAGAAAGCAGCAAGTGCAAAACGACTTCTGGTTATTTCAACAAATGAAATCCAAGTAAGTTCATGAATACTCATTCTCCTTTCCTCTGCCTACAGCTATCAGTTCCTGTGATAAAATGGGCAAAGGAAACACAATCAGATATGAAGAGTTCTGCATTCTGTCACAGTGACTTCCTGCTGTGTTAGTTTTCAGAAACTAACCTAGTTACTCGTGGCTGGCTGTCAAAACTGAATGCTGAACTTTTCCTTCCCCTTTTCAGATATAAAAACCCAAAGCTCCTTCCAATTGCTGAGCATTACTGCACCCTTTGCTTTGCATTTTCAGTTTTTAGGGCAGGCTTTTTCAAGCTTTTAGGTTTTATTTAATGAAAGCAGCCTTCTTAAACCTGAGTAAAAGATGAGAGGAAAAAGGTCTTCCTCATTCAATTTTGAATTGGACAGACATTTAGCAACACTCACTTCAGTACTGCCAGTAAGGGAAAAATGTAAGAACTCTTATAGTTCTACAAGGGAGAGAAAAATTACTCAGGAACAGCAACTGGAGATCCAGGAGAAACAGGGAAGAGATACACAAGTGGCAGAATTCCTGTAGAGCCTAGTACAGTGTGATGCAAAACAAAGGTGCACTTGGTGCACGGAAGAGCAGAGCCATTGCAGCATCCTGCCAGGACTCACCAACCGTGCCAAGAACTGTGCGATGTCCTCCCGTCTGGTAGCTCTGCTTTCCCACAAGCACCCAAACAAATGGACGTTTTGAGCAGTTTTTGCAGTTCGGTGTAATAGTAAAAATATAACATTCAGTGTATCAAAAATACACTATAAAAAGGCTGCATGTCACTGCAATGCATTGTTACTTAATAAAAATTGTGGTCACTTATAGAAAGAGGCTTGCATCTTCGTCAGCTTTTCGAATACCAGAAAAGTAATCTTTGGTTATTAAAGATTCCCCTCTCCCCTCATTTTTTTAAATGAAATTTGTTTTGCTGTTTTTGAAGATGCCATCTACGGTTATTTCAAAGTTCTGTTACCTCACTATATTTCAGAAGCATACTTACTCCTCTTTTCCTCAGGTACTGGAGAAAAAAAATAAAATCCAAAAACCTGAACCAGAAGTTTTTCTGCTAGCTCATGCAATACCACAATCATCTTAAGAAGGGATCAGGACTAGGAGGAACAGTAACATGTCTTCAGCACTTCTTGTAGTAATGATGAATTGCAACCCTTATCTTGCTACACAGTGCCAATACATTCAAAAATAAATGAGAATTGAGTTTGCTCTGCTGTAACAGGTTGTTAATTTTTCTTGAATATGCACTTTAAGTACCTACATTAAAATATAATGTACTGTATGAATCCATTACTGCATTGTTCCATAAATTCTTAAAGTCCATACAACTGGCTTTTAGAAGAATTGCTGCTCATGTTTCCTCATCTTCTGAAGAAGCAGACTGAATAGCGTCAAAAGGAAAAATGTTACTTATCAAAAGGCAGTCTTTGTCTGCAGCTGGGTTCCGAAGCTGTCCTCTGTTCATCATCTCTCCTGTTATTCCAGCTTTTCTTCATTGGAGTTAGATGAGGGGCAACCACATCACTGTCCTATTATTAAAAGTCAGAAAACATTAATTATAGTACATTCACTTTTGCTTTCTATCCTAAAGCAGGGGAAAAGCAGCTCAGTGTCAGATATAATAGAAAAAATAAGTCCAAGGTCCTAGAAGCATTATAAATCAACAAACATTGAAGGTTGTGCATCCCAGAGATGGAAACTGCTGTAGCAGTCGTAGCATCTAGTGGGGAAAAATAAAATCCCCCACATACCTGAGAAGCCTTCACCACTGGCAGTTCACCTCTTCCTAAATTATTACCAGCAAGCCCAGGAAGATCAGCAGGTTTGTATTTTGTGCATTGGTATATCAACTGGAAACACTATAATAAGCGCTTCCTCTGAATTCACCACTATATCTCATTTATAACTGTTTCACACTACCAGCTGTAGGTGCTTGGATGTGCCTTTCACTGCCTTAAATTATGCAATGCTGGTACAGTAACTGGTATGACCTAAGGCAGTGGTGCTCGTCCTTGTCAGATTATGTTAATCTGGTGCTCAGGCACTGCAAACGCAGTCAAAAGAGCAATAAACTCTGATCTTAGGAAGAAGCTGGTGAGATGAATGTTGCTATGTCCTGCAACATGCCAGGGCCTGCAAGGTGGATATGTCTGAACTAGAATATGCTTATGGGATACAACCATACCCTACACACTACAAACAGAGAAAGCTTTTTGCTCGATCCTCTTGTGAAAAGCCCTCCTGCAGTAAACTGCTCTCAAAAGAGAAATATGACAGAAGAATGAGCCTTAACCCAAGTTGCTCACGCCTACAGCTGTAGCTCCAGCACGTAAGAGCACTCATCTACTGGGTGGTCTTTTGTTTCAGACCATGTAGCTCTTTCCTCAAATGAGACCTGCAGGTGTCTCTAGCCAGTAAGAAGACAAGTTGGGGATAATAACATGCTTGATGAAAACGAAAAAAATACACGGTTCACAGAACAAACTCACACTGCATCTCTTAAGCAACTTGGAGATTTTAATATAAGCATTTATTTTACTTTGAGGATTGATTCCAGACAGGGGAAAACATCTCTGAAAAAAGTGCATGGAACTGAAGGAAGCTATTACTTTTCCTGGTATGACTATCAGACAAAAGCAAAAACCAGGGGAGAAATGTAACAGCAGGTTTGCCAGCACATCTACCAAACCTACTGACACAGCCTAGAACCACACAGCTCATGCATGTAGTGCAGTGGCCCCATTAGAAGTTTCTACTGAGAAAAGCTTACTTGGTACAACCAAAACTGCTTCCCTACAACAATGGATATACTGGAAGTATCAGCAAATAATAATTTTTTTAGATGAAGGTGCCCACCTTCCTGTAAGGGGGATGTGATGGTGATGCTGTATCACACATCACTTGTTTACAGCCACGATTGTTACAGGCTCCTCCACCACCTTTGGCAGGATGTATGGACTCAAGGTCTGCTTTAGAGTCTCCACTTTACTTGTCAGCATAGCTCTGACACATTTCCCAACATGAAACAAAACATCAGATGAGCTGTAACATAACCCCTTCCTTCCTCACAGCTGGAAACTTGAGCTGACAGAAAAGGGAAACAGAACAGAGAAGGCCTTGCAAGCACCTCAGACAACAGACTAGTTGCCCAGAGAGTACAGATCTGCAACCTTGTTCCCAAAGATATTTTACACCCTAACTCAGAGCAAATGGACTGACCATGAATCTCCTGAGGGAGGAGTTTAACAGCTACTGAACGAGGAAGGAAAAGAGGAAAAGTTAATAGGAGAACTGATCTGACCTCTTCCCTAGATTTTTTAATCTCTCAGTGCTGTTTTAAGCCTTTGTATGCAGAAACCTGCATCCATGAACTAGTGAGTGCCTGTGTTGATACTAACTTTGTTATAAAACCAAGACTTTTCAAATGACATAAGTCAAATCATTACAAATCCATCCTTATTTCAGTGAAACCAAAGCACGCCCAGATGTGAACCACAATAAAACCAGAAGCTATGTTAGCAAGGAGTGGTTCTACCAAGGCCCGAATGCCAAGATTTTAGTGAAAGAACAAGCTTATGGACAATGGTGGAGAACTCTAAGAACAAGAAAAATAACGTTAATTTGTTACCTGTGGTTTGGTGAAATCATTCTCTATACACCACTGAATAAAATACTGTTTTGCAGCTGAAACAATATTTGGATCCTGATTCTTGCAATAAACTCGGATAATCTGCTCTGCAAATGTCATGGGTAAAAGCTTTGAAACCTTTGAAATAAAAAAGAAATAAGCTTTAGTATTTCTTGGAATTTAGAGTCCACTGAACTTCAATTTTTTTCATCTGAATACAAACAGAAAGCAGTAAAACACATTCCACTACAATCCATGAGCTTAGCTAAGTCAACTGTATTTTTTTAAGACTCTCAGTGTATGTAAGATAAATACTGTTCATATGCAAAAGCTGTCAGGATTCCAGACAACACACACTGAAGACCTGCAAGGATATGGATTCCACAACCTCTCCACAAATCCTGCAAGAACTACTACGAAGGACTGTAATCACTTCCACTGCAACCAGTGAAGAAGATGCCCTTCAAAAGTCAGTTGAAGAAAATAAAAGACTACCTGTTCTTTACTGATCTTGACTGCCTTGGAAGGATCAGCCTTGCAATAGAAGAGAACATTATCAATGGGATTCTGTTCTTTCATTCCATAATCTATATTGATAATCTTGCATGTAAAACAAAGAAAATGGCATTAGTTAGTCTTCATCTTTAGTTTTTTCACAATACGTACAAAAGGATACACACTATACTTCTGTAAATGACAGTAATCAAATAGATCAGTAATTAACAAATGATTACTTAATAAAACATTCTGGTATATGCATTTTATATCTCTCCTTCCACCACCTTCTGGTCTGAAGCTGCCAGGTAGATATTCACATTTACACCAACCAGCTCCCAGTCATGCTCTGAAAAGCTCCAGTTTCAAACAGTGGAAGTGTGCCGGTCCCTTGCCAGCCTGTGTCTCCCCCAGACACACAACCTACGGAGGCAGCAGTAGAGCTTAGTTTTGAACAGGACACTTAGACAATGTGATTTACATCTGCTTGGTACACCAACAGTTTTGTAATCAGCAGGCAGTGTCCCACTTCCCCATGACTTCAATTTGTGGGACAAGGAAAGCAGAGTCAACTACCTTAAAGCTAAGTAAACTGCTACAATTTTACCCAGCCTGAAGTGATTCTTCAATGCAAGAGAGCTCTAGGAGTGATTTGTGATGCACTCTATGGAAAGCCATTTGTTAGATGTTAGAATTAACCAAGAACAGGAATTAAGCTATTTGATAATTGCAGACTGCTCAAGCTCCTCCTCTGTCCCAGGCTCTTTCCTTCCCACCAGTGCTGGCCGGAGACTGAGCTGTGGCAGCACAGCGCTTTATGTAGAAGACAAAACCCAGGAGCGATTGCCATGCATTAGGTGTGCAGTACCAGAACCTGGAAGCTGCTGTGCCCGTTACCCTCCCACCAGGACCCGTAGTTTACTTGCCCTCATAACCTGCAGCAGTGGCTCCTCGACTGCCGACTTTAACACCCATATGCTAAAACCCAAAGAAATCCCACTGCTCCTTTTCAGAGTGAGGGCAGTCAGGGGAGAACACATGTGTCAGTGGGAGCAGATGTGCCCCAATGACAGCCCACTGATGCTGCCTGAAGCCTCTGTCCCCAGGCCCTCCCAGCCTCAGCCAGTCTCCCAAGAGGGAAGCTTGTTGCTCAGAACCTTGAGCTGAACAGGTAGGATGGTATTTATGAGGCAAACCTGTGGGTTTTCACTTTGCAAATACATTGAAACGTATCTCTGATTTTCACTATGATACACGAGGCCCTCTGTTACTGAGAATTTTTTTACTTTGAACCTGCTCTGTGAGATATTTACATCAATTATGAAATCTTCAGCCTTTAGCTCCACATCTGGAGGATCCTTTTCTGGTTTGGAATTTGCAATGCTTTTCGCCAGGCAATTATTCTGAAAAAAGACAGTGGCTCAGATTACATTTATGCACTATCAGCACACATATATCAGCAACAAAATGCATGGCAGAATGTGTCACTAAACTAAAGCTTTAATTTCTTCATAGCCTGACAGACTACTGTTGCAGAAATTTGTTGTACAAATCCTTGTATACCTTAGCTGTAAGTTTTCTACCAATCTTTAGAAACAACTGAGAAGACTGAAATACTATCAGCCTGTGGAGGAAGAGGTTGAGACTTGATGATGGAAGAGAAGATGTCCTGCTCAG